CAGGATCTTTAGGACAAAGAGCTTCACGTTCTTCAATAGGCAACTTAAAGCAACACCAAATCGGGTGAAACGCCAGAGGATTATGTTTACCCGGAGAACACGGATGAGCTGGTGGTTGTTTTGGCTTATCAGATTTTTTAGATTTGGAATCGACTTCAGATTTATAAGCGGAAGGACCAACGACTTGATTTTTAGGAGTAGGTTTGACCTTTGAGACACCTGAGACACGAGTGTCTTTCATATAGACAAGTTCCCTTAACTTCTTGAGAGTACGACTAGGAAAGAAGATAATGGCTTCATTCATAATGATATTGTCAACAACATTCCAATAGTCTTTGGAAAGTTTTGCCAAAATAGAAGTCAAAATTATATCATCGGGAATGCCAAGTTGAACAAGTGCGCATTCCCTAATCATCTTTTGACAGTTGGCAAGGTAACTATTGAGATTGCCATTGAATTCATAACGCATCCATTTCAACCAAATGCGGGCTTTATTGTTGACCGATGAAGAAGCGTAGCGTTCCACGATGGAAGCCCAGAGAAGATCAGGGTTCTCTTTGTTTTCAGGAGTAACGGTAGAATCTAGAGCTTCTTTGCTGAGATGGCTGATAATAGTGTTAAGGGTTTCATTTCTCTTCTTTTTAGCTGGAGTTACCTCGCCAGCGCAGATTTCCCAGAGATCTTTGCTACAAAGGTATGCTTTCATCCTTACTGACCACGACGGATAATTGAGATCGTCAAGTTTAGGAATCGACGATTTGGTCGATTTTTCCTCAATGTCCGACATTTTTCGTGATTGTTTCTTGTTTGAGCGCCTTACTGAGAATGTGAAAAGTTTTGGCTAGATAAAACAGGAAACAAGTTATGGATGATAGAATGTAATGAAGAGAAATGAAAACTGTCAACGACTATGTTGGTGTCACATTATCCCTGACATGATTTCCCAGATGGGAAATCTTGTAAATTTTAGGGAAATCCTGTAAAAAAAATTAAAGATTTTTCCAGATTTTTAGAGTTTTCTAATTTTTTTTAGATTTTTCCAGATTGTATATATTTTTTCAGATTTTTTATATTTTTCTAAATTTTTCAGATTTTTCCAGAATTTTTTTGCAAGAGACATCTATAAAGTTGAGAAAAATTAACAAGTCCAAACAATCTGAAAAAATCTAAATAAAGATCTAAAAAATCTGGAAAAATTAGAAAAGTCTTAAAAAATTGGAAAAATCTAAAAAATCTGAAAAAATCTAAAAAATCTGGAAAAATCTAAAAAATCTAGAAAAATCTAAAAAGTCTGGAAAAATCTGAAAAAATCTGGAAAAATCTAAAAAATTCAGAAAAAATAAAAAATCTGGAAAAAACTTTAATTCTTTACAGGATTTCCCTAAAATTTACAAGATTTCCCATCTGGGAAATCATGTCAGGGATGATGTGTGTTGATGACTAGGTTGGAAAGACTTGAAGAGAATAGAAGACAATTAGAATCATGCACGCAGTTATAACAACATAGAAGAGAAAAGAATAAGAACCTCAGAAAGTCAACCTAGATGAAAAAGTCCTCGGAGAAGTTGGAAACCACACGAGATGAAGATGAAGAAAAGATTAAAAGACAAGTAAAGTAAGATTGTTAACGGTAAGCTGAATTGATAGGTTGAAGGAAGTTGATAAGTGAGTTAAAGTATAGTCGAAGTTGAAGAGGTAGATAGTAAGTATTCTTCAAACAACGGTCAACAGGAACAACGGTCAACAGTGATAGACAGAGAAAAGATTAAAAGATTGAAAACAACGGTCAACAAAGGAAAAGAAATAAAAGTAACACTAGCTGTGTAAGATCACACTACTATGACATCACAGAATGTATGCGTGCCGTCATGATCAGATTTCAACATCTTCCAATTTTCCTAACTCCTCCCTCAAAAAACAAGACCAAGGTGAAAGCAAACTTGGTCAAGGTTTGTGCTGGGGTGGTTTCAGTGG